ACGCTGACCCGTCCACCCGTCAATCACCGCTCTGCCTTATCACGGCCCGCGACGGGCTGTCGCCTCCCCGCCGGTATTCCCGCTCGCCGGCCCATTTGCAAATTCCAAGTCCGCTTTCAGCACAGCGGAGAGCTCCGACACGCCGCGGCTCTCTGGGCGAGCGCCGCCGGCGGCTCTTTCCCTTTCACGTCTGCTGGCTCAGAACCTCGGTCGGGCCAACGGGTTTTCATCCGGCGCAGGAGGGAAAACGGAGAGGAAAAACACTCCTCGCTGCCTTCGGGACAACAGCAGGGAAGCAGCTTCCGTAAGAGCCTTCAGCGTCATCTAGGACGTCATCTATTAACTATACGGACCCTGCATGATTACAGCGCATTAAGCTGGATAGATACTTTTGTTTTAGGAAATTCCCCCGCGACTCGCGTCCCAGTAAACGGGAAAGGAGCGCCGCGGCGTTGTGATGACGGCACAGACGACGAAGCCTGTGTTTTTATTATTTGCTTGTGTGTGTGTGTCTGTGTGTGTTCAGGAATGTCTGTGCGGATGAAAATAAGCTCTGCCAGGCCCCCGTTCATCCTCTAAGTGGGTAACATATGGGATGACAACTGTCGCCTTCGTGGGGAAATGGACGGATTAATTGAAATGGAGCACAGACAGGAGAACGCCAGCGATGAGCACTTAACACAATCGTTAAGGCTAAATCAGCGGAGGGAGCGGATGTGCTCGTCGGTTCGCACGGAGAGGAGTTTGGATGTCTAGTGATGAAAATACAAATATCCATTTGATTAGATTGTGTGTGTTGCGGGAAAGCCTGTGGGTAACGGCCGGCCTGGCTAACCACAAGCTAACACGAGGCGCTAACGGAGTCGTGTGCGCTTTTTCGCTGCTTTTGTCCCTCTTGACACTGGGATGCAGTCAGGATGTTGGGAAATGATAATGACAATTATGCTTAGCATAGCATAATGAGTAAAAACCGCGTGATTTTCGCGATAGAATTACAACACCTTTCAAAATGTGCCATTGATGAGTCCATATTTAGATCGGTTGACAGCCCTATAAATACGTAATGGTGAACAGCAATGAGCTTTGTCCACCGGTGACTCTTTTCCGTTATAAAAGTCTGCACTCCTCTCTCGGGGCTCCACTCGTCGACCGCGGAGAGATTTATGAGTCACTCGGACAAAGATCTGCAACTTTCTCCCTGACCCCCGTCCCCTCGCGCTCGTCATCCAATTCTCTCCATCTTCTCCTTCAGATCATTTCCTCCGAGGTCAGCCGGATCCATCTGGCGGAGAGCGACGGGTCAGGCGCTATCTGTCTGCGTAGCCCTTCGCCGCTCATCAGTGCTGTTTCTGTGCGTCTCGCAGATGTGTCCTCGACCGGCACTGGAAAAATAGCAGCGAGTCCGCCGGTGAGATTGGACCGGATGGTAAGTGATTGGTGGGAAACGGGCGCGAGTGGACGAGAGGGCGGCTGGAGTGGTGGTCCTTGTGAAGGGCTTTCGAGAGCTCCTGCGTGAGTGCCTGCGTGTCACGAGTGGTCTCTCCGCCGTGCTTTGTCGACGGCCATGAGAGCGCGTCGAGACGTCCGACAGGCCTGATTATCGGGAAGAAGAAGAAGAAGAAGAAGACGGGTACCGAGTGGAGCCGCAGCGACGACGTGAGATGGAACAGACCCTCCCACGGGTGACTCATGCTCTCAATCCGTGCTCACGCGTCTGCGTCCATTTCGGAGTGAAATAGACCACGAGGAAGGATCTTCAGGGCGGGGCCTAGTGCGTGAATGACAGGTCACCTGCAGGGAGTTTTCTGCATTTTTAGTTTTTGGACTTTGCCCCCGTTCACACTGCGCTTTCAGCTCATGAAACTAGAAATGGGGTTTGTTTTCTTTCTTTATCCAGACGCACTCGGCTTGAAGAGGATAGTTGACGCAGTTTTTTTTTACCATCACTTTTCATCCCCCGAAAAAATGAGGTGAAATTTGAGATTTTCATGAACTCCTGAGAACACTTAATAATTCACTGTGATCAACTCAATGCCTTGTTGGGGAGGAGGAGACGGAGCTGAGGTGTAAAGCCCTTTGTCAAATGTTGCTAAACTGATATTTGATCTACAATTCCTTGACAACTGTGCGAACTCCATCTGCCGATGTTTTGTGCGTTTGTTTCCCTCCTCGTTCGTTTCCCCGCCCTCTCCGAGCACACCTCAAAATGACACCAAAGATACAGAATTATTTCCGCTCGTCTCTCTCAAACGCTTTGTGGGAACCGATCGATGATCCGCCGAGTACGGTCGTCTGTGGCCGCTCAAAGACACAAAGAACGCCGGACCGCTACTCGCTGTGACCGCCCGCCGCCCGGACCCCCCCGCTGAGCTCTCCTTCTCCTCTGAACGGCACGGCGCTGTGCCCGAAAATCAGAAGAGCTCGGGAAACGAAAAGGGTCGAGGGAGTGTTTGCAAAGACAAACATGAAAAAGATAATTTGTGCCGCGTCCTTGTTGGAGGATTTACAGAGATCTCCCATAACGCACTTCCTCGGGTTTTGACTCTTGTCTTGTTATATTTGCCGAAGGGATCCTGAAGTGTGCTTTTTGCTTTCTTCATCCACACACACACACGTCAGTCATTTGATGCTGGATAACCTTTTTAAAGAAACGGATCCTGCAACATCCAAGAACCGCGAGAGCTTCCTGCGTGTTTACAGGCCGTAAAGAAAGGAACAGCGACATGGACACAGTGACGTGATGAAGCAACAAATGGCTTCGGAGTCGGCGGCTCGCTGAATTAAAATACGCGGTGCTGGTAATGACCTGATCTAAATAAGATATATATTGCCTGAAATTACAAAAAAGGGGGGAGGGGGGCAACAACGCTTCTGCGTCTCCTTCTTCTTCTGCGTCGCTGCCAGAAGATCCTCTGAGCCCGAGCGCACAAACGTGGTCGCATGTGAACGACTTCACCTCCAAGCGCACATCTGCAAACTTTGCAGGTGTCAACGCGTTGGCTGCACTCTACACCCCCCCCTCACCCCTTCACCCCCTCCCCCCCTCAAACCCACAAACACGCAGAAGGGGGTTTGTTGGCGCTCCGAGTTCCGATTAGTGATAAACTGAGCGGAGGCGGATCCTTTACCCCGTGGAGGCGGATCCCTCACCCCGTGGAGGCGGATCCTTTACCCCGTGGAGGCGGATCCCTCACCGCGTGGAGGCGGATCCCTTACCCCGTG